TAGGTTTACGGGGTGCGAGAACATATTTTGTTTTTTGATAACGGGGGTGAGAACATATTTTGAGAACCAAAGGGGTGCAGGCTGCAGTAAAGGTTAAGAACCACTGCCTTAAGGCTTCCTTCTAGAATCACTTAGCACAATTTTAATCAACAATGCTTTGAAATACAACAGTGACCCAACACATTGTGGGTATTATAGATCAAGCTTTTATTTTATTTTATATTTTTGCGCTAAATACTTGGTTAGAGGGTGTGACAGGATAAGTAATTCACCCCAGTTAGAATGGATTTATTGTAGGCTGGTCTACTAGTTTTAATGTGCAGAGGTTATTTGAAATTATGATAGTTTTGAAATGGAAATGCAAAGTATTTTATTTTTAAGGCTGGGATTTCCCTTTGGTATTGGATGTTGCAAATTCATTTAATCTTAATTTAATTGCGCAGACTGGAGTTTTGCACATTGCCTATTTTCTGGATAGCAGAATGTTATCCAGAAAATAACAATGTTACACACAATGTTACACACTCTATGTGGGTAAGTACACAGGTAACATCATTCTTTAATTCTCAAAGGGCGGGGTCTGCCTCTTGCTATGTGTTTGTGCAATGCGTAGCACAAGGGAGCCATGACCTCAGTTGGGGCTTCCAGACACTACTGTAATGCAATTAACAACAATATAAATGTAAAATTAGACTGCTACAAAGAAATTCAAACCTGGGTTTATTTAATTCTATCATCTATGGCACCTCTGTAGGTATATAACTGACTTCAGCTAATCTCAGTAAAATGTAATATGTTTTCCACATCGCAATAGCGATTAGCAAAGAACTTCATGTAGAAACTTTTTGACCTGCTATAGCACACTGCTAAACTCTACCAGATTAAAAGGAGCTGTAACATCCAAGCACGGTGACTAAGGCTTTGTCTACACTGCCCCACAGTTCAGAAAAAGGGGGTGTTAATAAGCTGCACTGTAGCTCCCCCATGTGGGCACGAACTTAAAGGTCCCTAAAAGGACTACATTAGTGCAAACTAGGGACCTTTAAATTCATGTCCACAGTGTTCACATGGGGGAATTACAGCGCAGCACTTTAGTGTGTACTGCAATTCATACCCTCATAATCCAAATTGTAGAGCAGTGTAGACATGGCCTTAGTCAAGAATTACACCAGATCCCTCCTGTTTATTAGATTCACAAAACTGAAAATATTGGAATTGGCCAGGAAAATTTCTAAACTACAAATGGTAGAGTCAGATTGATTTACTGTTGAGATCAGAACAACTGCCCATAGTAAAGAAAGACTAAAGGAGGTGCTGAAGTGATTTCTTTCCCAAACTAATGGTTTAGTAGGTGTATCAAACACATTTCTGAAGTGAGAATGGCAGTCAAAATACCTAACCTGCTGAATCTGCAGGCTACTCAGTCTGGGCAGAACCAATTCATTTTATATCTGGCAAACAGTGGTTGTAACTGACTGGAACAGTTTGTACTTCTGATAGATTTTAATTCTTGGTTTCCTTTTCGAAAGAAAAAATATAAATATGAAATATTAAATGTACCAAATAAATCAGACTACCATGATCAGAAAACAAATAAAATTCAAATACTACCTAGGGTGAAAACATCCTTTAACTTCAATCCAGCCGGGAGCTCACCCACAGAATATACATTATCTGACTTCAGCCTTTGATAGCTTGCTTAAGGCAACAAGAATATTTCGTATAACTTAGTAATTTCTGATAAAGTTAATGGGAACTGAGCATCCAAATGCATTATGAGCCTTGAAAATCTCACTCGTTTTCTTGATTTATTCACTAATCTCAAATAGGCACACAAACATTAGATCCATTTGAAACAGATAGTGCTGTCGAATTATGGATTTCCTTCTATTTCATATGTGACTTTACTTTAATGATTTGCTAATATCCAATATTCCTTCTTAATTAAGAAAATTAGAAACTCTCCATTCCATAGTGTGATTTGTATCTATGTTGGAAAATGGAGGCAAGCAATCACTGAAGCAGATGGTTGAGACTAAATTCAACATCGATCAATGAAAGGAAGTCTCACAGTATGATGCCTGCAGCTGATCACTCATTAAACTTGGATACAAAAATGCCTCCTATACAAATAAATAAATAAATAAATAAATAAATGCATTTAAAAAAAATTTAAGCTACAGCTAAATGCAGTTTAAGTGACTGTCCAGATTCCTTATAATGTATCATCCTACTGCATAATCTCGTGGCCCAGTTAGTCTGAAAATAGCTCTAGATGCACATTCTAGATGCACAAAAGACAAATCAGAGTAATCTAGATTGTAAGATCCTGGGAGCAGGGAACTTGTTTTATAGCTGTATAAAATGATGTTTCCACCAGTAGCTCAATATGAATTAATGAATAAATAAGCAAACACATTCATACAGTGTATCAGGCCCACAGACATGGCCATGGGGGGGAAAGGGGACAATTGCCCAGGGGCCCAGGTGATTTAAAAGGGCTCGGGGGCCCCCAGCCACCGCTGGCACAGCTGGGCTAAGGTAGGCTTCCTGCCTGCCCTTGCTCTGTGCCACTCCCGGAAGGGGCTGGCATGTCCCTGCGGGCCTTGGGGGCAGTGGCAGGGGGTGTCTGCCAGCTGCCCCCACCCCAAGCGCTGTCTCCACAGCTCCCATTGACCAGGAACCGCTGGGCCTCCCACCTAGGAGCCGCTGCAAGAGGGATGTATCGGTCGCTTTCGGGAGCTGCCTGAGGTAAGCGCCGACCCCCCCCCACTCCTGCACCCTAACCCCCTGCACCAGCCCAGAACCCACACCCCAGACCCAAGCTCCCTCCTAGAGCCTGACCCCATAATCCTTCCCGCACCCAAACTCCCTCCCAGAGCCTGCACCCCGCACCCTAATCCCCTGCCCTAGCCTGGTGAAAGTGAGTGAAGGTGGGGGAAAGTGAGTGACGGAGGGAGGGGGAATGGAGTGAACAGGGGGGAGGGCCTCAGAGAAGGGGCGGGCCAGGGATGTGGTCTCAGGGAGGGGGTGGGGCAAAGGGCTTTGGGTTGGCGCAATTAGACAGTTGGCAAGCCTACCAGGTGGGCATGTGGAAGCCCTGGCCATGCTGGAAGAGTGTGCCCAGCAGCGCAGCCAGCAGCTCGCTGGGCACCAGCTAGTACAGGTGCAGTACTGCCCAAATGTCAGGCGGACCATGTCCGCACAGCTTGTGCATGTGTGGGGGCCCATTGACTGTTCTGCCAGGGGGCCCGGAATTGCTGTCGGCCGGCCTGCATTGTATCTGGGATGAATAGTTTCAAATGAAGTAGAAGTTAGTTTCAGAACTCAGAATGGCACCAAAATAATTATAGTTAGCATGTTGTCTTTCAACAGCATGCCCAGCAATGAGCAATACCCTTTATATGTTCCCATCATTGCTAACGGGATGACGATTAACTGTTGGTGGCAGTCTTGGATATGAGCCCTTTTCCATTTCACTTAGTTGCCAAAGTCACCTTCATAGCAATTCAGCTATTATCTCAAAATCTGTAGTGAATCTAACATACTATGGTTGAGCCTCCTGTAGCAGCAGCACTAGCCCTGATGTTTGCTCCAGCCAGACATTTAACTGTGAAGGCTCAGATGCATCACTGTTAGATAAATTAGAGGAGACACAATTGATGTTTTGGACCATAAATCAATCTCTGGAGGTGACCTGGACCTTAAAAAGGTGGAGTGATTACTGCTGCTACAGTCTAATAATAGGATAAGTTAAACCTGCTACTGCCATGACAGACTTTAGGCTTACAAGTCCCTACCTTGTATGTGGGGGAGGCGGGGCAGAGGGAGAAGGGAGCAAGCGGGTCCATGAAATGGAGTGGGGTAACATATTCCTCCCTCAGAACAAGGGGAAAGTAGGGGATGAATTGTAGCGTTCAGAGCCCCAATTCATTCTCTAGTGTCTCCTGGGGCAATGCAGTCACGTGTTGCCTCTTACTCAGGATGGATTGAGAACACGCAATCTAGCCCATCATAAGCCCTTGAGCTTGTGGGGGTGTAGGTGTGGGGAAGGATGTACAATACACCAGGAGAGAGAGTTGGATCTTCATGGCTCATGCAAAGATGTGAAGGATCCTCAGCCCACAAGGAGGAGTTAGAGGTAAGACTTTCTTCTCAACATCCCATTCTTTTAAAGCTTACTTTATCATCAATTTCAGTAGGATTTGTAAGTTAAAATGGAATATCACACAGTACCTTCCTTCTACTTAGATCAAGTTCCACCGTCACTTGGACACCTTGACACTGGTGATCATATGATCACCAGAGTGCAGACCACAGCCTATGTCAATAAAACCCTTTTCATTTTCATCATATTGCATCATCATGGGTCTTTGACTATTCCATCCCCTTCCCCCTCAACATTCCAAATTTTCACCTTTCTTGTTAATGAAATGGCAACTTTTTATACTTATTTTAATGATCAAATTACACCTGCTTAAAGTGATCAAAATAAATGGGGGAAGTTGTATTCATTTTTATTACAAATTATTTGATTCATGAAGTTCTGATCATAAGTGCCTACAATAAGTGAGAAGCCTTGTAATAGCCAAAGCAGAATTACCTAGTCAAAAAGAAAATGACAAGCGGTTTCTACAGAGTTCATGTAATTTCCCAGTAACTTAAACTTCTATAGTTGCAAATACATATCTAAAATAATTTTGAAATTATGAGTTCAACTGTCATATTTTTGGTATTTTAAGCCAAATAAGTTACTATTAAATATCAAATACTTAATATCAAAAAGGTTAAATTTATTCAGGTCAAATGTTTTTTATTTGATGACACTTCAGTTTCTACATATGCCTGAGGAAGGGCCATTCCTAAACTGCAGGCTCGAACAACTACTTAATTGGACATTTTATGGATATCAAAGCTTAATAGGGATGTAACAGACACGGCGGCAGCTCCACCCTGCACCACTTCGTTAGACTGATGTGTGTTTTGTGATGAGATATTACCATTCAATGGGTCAGTGGGCTGTGTTTCTTGCTGTGCCTCGGTGGGATCTTTCTGGTTTGGATCAGAGTTAGTGAATTTCTCCGAGCTGGATGCGCTAGGAGGACAGTCGAAAGTTATAACTTGTAGGACGAAGGAACTGGGAGTGGAGCTTCTTGGTAAAGGCGTGTCATCACTTCCCTGACTACTCTCATTTTGTGTCCTGGTTGTTTCCTCCTGTAATTGTGCATCTGCAGGTTTTCTGCTTTGGTCTTTTTGCTGTTCACCAACATTTCTCACAAGTTCTTCTACAGAAAGGGAACAAAATATGTAAATTAGATATGAAATATATGCTGCAGTTGCTTTGATTTCTTAGCAATGGCTGTGTCCTAGAGCTGGACTTGGAAACATTGTGCACATGGGAATTCTTTGTCACTTTTAGTGTTAATACATGTGCACTGGTTTGTTTAAAGTGGATTAAGTTCTGATCTCAGTTACACAGGTGCAACAGAAGTGGTGGTGACTGGATTTGGTGTTTGATCTTTAATCAGTACTTCCATCTGCAGCTGGAGTGGCAAGCATTCCAGGAAAAGCCATGTGCACATGGGAAGGGAAAGGGTGGAAACAGGATGAGATCACTGCCGAGTGCTGTTCCATTTAGCAATGCTGTTTATGGCAGCAATGCTAGAGGGAGCAGAGCTCAGGAGCTCCCGAGACAGGTAGACAGGGAGGGCCTTGCAGAAAGAAGGGAGTGAAGAGAGCTGTGGCAGCTCTGGAGGAGAAGAAATGAACCCTGGAGGGAGGAAGAGGATATCAGAGCAAAAGAAAGAGAACCCAGGATGGAGAGAGCTTTAGGAGGTTACACATTTGTGCTACAACAATAACAGCAGCAACAGTGGGGAGGGGACAAATCTCAAAGAAATAGTACTTCAGAGGGACAGACAGTGAGGGAAGGGAGAGACTGATCCAGGAGGCCAAAGCTCAGTTGCAAGAAGAGAACTGGAGGTAGAGAAAGAAAGGTTGGGGGGATGGCACGGAACTGAGAAAAGGGAAGTTCAGGAGGACATAATTTGAGTGCGGGAGAGAGAGTTTGGTAGGAGGAGCTGGAGGATAGAAAGAGCAGGGGATGGAGAAGACTTGTATGGGAGGGGATAGAGAGCACACTTTGGTGGTGGGGATGGAAGGGTTGACAAGAAGAGGGCCAAATGGCAGATGATGGCTGTTTTCCCTGTTATTAGAACACCTGCCTTTTCCTATCTCTTAGGTTCAGCTTTCAGATCCCTTGATACTCCCATGACAGATATAAAATATCCCCAGTTTTATAAAACGATGAGCATTAGAATTTGAACTGTAACTCCACAAACTCTCTGGGGATTATTGTGTGATTTCCCAAGCCCCCAGTTTTCACTGCTATTAAAGGAGGAAAGCAGGCCCAACAATATTGTTCCTGTTCTGCTAGCATGATATTGCTAGCTTGACTGAGAACAAACTTCAGTTCTGTGAATGTCCAACCTAAATCCAGGCCAAAACTGATCATGTAGTATTATGGAGAGGTAGAAGCATCTCGGCAGCACAGGTTGTAACCACATTACCATTCTAAGCAGAATTTATCCCCTCCATACTACTCTCCTGAATCCTCAGGGCATGTACTTTTGGACAGCAATTTGGCCTAGGAGGTGGGAGGTAGAAGAAACATTCCCTCTAAATCTGAGACAAGTTCACTAAATGTTTCTAATATATGGAAGCTTGGACAATTAGGTGCTTTCCCTTCTTTGTCAGTTCTTATGATTTTTTTAGCCAGTTATAGCTTTAAAAAAGGGAGGAACTTCACATTTGGTTTATTGATCCAAACTGCTTACAAACATTAGAGAAACAGGAAATTTCTCCTGGATTCTATAACTGAGGGGACTTTTGATCTCTTCATAGCTATTACTTCCTCTAGGGACCTGCTACAGAACTGCTAGGCAGAACTGGCTGCGTTAAAAGACATTACAAAATCTGTAGGTGTAGTTTGGAAGATATTTTCATGCAGTTCTACCAAGTTGTATTAATTAAAGCAGATGTCATTCATGGAATAATCTACCTACGGCTTTTGTCCCAAAGAAACTAATTTACATATCATATTTGCTGGTGAATATATGCTTCCATATGGTAGAGCTACAAGCATTTTCCTTGACTTTATCAGAAAGTCAAGGAAATTCCAAGGCAAAAAACCAATGTTTAAGTTGTATCACTAAATTGAATTAAAAGAATCTTGAACTATAAAACAAAACAGAAAATGGAAAGAATGGAAATTATAAATTAACGTAATACTTAAAAAATTAAAATAAAAAAGCTATTAGAAAGTATGTACCATTTTAACATCATTCAAACAATCTTAGCCTGTCCTCACTGTGAACAAACAGTAACTGGGGATAATCCTCTGTTTATAACTAGGGCTGTCAAGTGATTAAAAACATTAATCACAATTAATCGCATGATTAAAAAAATAATCTTGATTAATCGCACTGTTAATAATGGAATACCATTTATTTAAATATTTTTGATGTTTTCTACATTTTCAAATATATTGATTTCAATTACAACACAGAATACAAAGTGTTCAGTGCTCACTTTATATTTATTTTTTATTACAAATAATTGCTCTGTAAAAAACAAAATAGTATTTTTCAATTCACCTAATACAAGTACTGTAGTGCAATCTCTTTATCATGAAAGTTGAACTTATAAATGTAGAATTATGTACAAAAAAACTGCATTCAAAAACAAAACAATATAAATCTTTAGAGCCTACAAGTCCACTCAGTCCTACTACTTGTTCAGCCAATCGATCAAACAAGTTTGTTTATATTTGTAGGAGATAATCCTGCCCTCTTCTTGTTTACATCACATGAAAGTGAGAACAGGCATTCACATGACACTGTTGTAGCCAGTGTCGCAAGATATTTACATACCAGATGTGTTAAAGATTCATATGTCCCTTCATGCTTCAACCACCATCCCAGAGGACATACATTTATGCTGATGAAGGGTTCAGCTTGATAACAATCCAAAGCAGTGCGGACTGACACATGTTCATTTTCATTATCTGAGTTGATTTTCTTTTTTAGTGGTTCGGATTCTGTAGTTTCCGCATCAGAGTGTTGCTCTTTTAAGACTTTTGAAAGCATGCTCCACACCTCCCCTCTCTCAGATTTTGGATGGCACTTCAGATTCTTAAACCTTGGCTCGAGTGCTGTAGCTCTCTTTAGAAATCTCACATTGGTACCTTCTTTGAGTTTTGTCAAATTTGCAGTGTAAAGTGTTCTTAAAATCAACAACATGTGCTGGGTCATCATCCGAGACTAGTATAACATAAAATATATGGCAGAATGCGGGTAAAACACAGCAGGACACATACAATTATCCCCCCAAGGAGTTCAGTCACTAAGTAATTATCCTTTTTTTTATTATTTTATTTAACGAGCATCATCAGCATGGAAGCATGTCCTCTGGAATGGTGGCCGAAGCACGAAGGGGCATACAAATGTTTAGCATATCTGGCACATAAATACCTTGCAATGCAGCTACAAAAATGCCATGCGAATGCCTGTTCGTACTTTCAGGTGACATTGTAAATAAGAAGCGGGCAGCATTATCTCCTGTAAATGTAAACAAACTTGTTTCTCTTTGCGATTGGCTGAACAAGAAGTAGGACTGAGTGGACTTGTAGGCGCTAAAGTTTTACATTGTTTTGTTTTTTAGTTGAGTTATGTAACAAAAAAATCTACATTTGTAAGTTTCATTTTCACAATAAAGAGATCGCATGACTGTACTTGTATGAGGTGAATTGAAAAATACTATTTCTTTTGTTTATCATTTTTACAGTGCAAATACATGTAATGAAAAATAATAAAATAAAGTGATCATTATACACTTTGTATTCTGTGTTGTAATTGAAATCAATATATTTAAAAATGTAGAAAAACATCCAAAATATTTAATACATTTCAATTGGTATTCTACTGTTTAACAGTGTAATTAAAACTGTGATTAATCATGATTAATTTTTTTAATCACGATTAATTTTTTTGAGTTAATTGTGTGAGTTAACTGTGATGAATTGACAGCCCTATTTATAACAAAGTATGGGAGCAGAGTTAAGGTTAAGTGTTCTTAAAAATACATTTCAATACTTTCCATTTTTAAGTTCACATTAATCTAAGATTTCTAGTTTTGAGGATGTTATATTCCAATATTATTTTAAGACGTTTCCCATTTAAATTTCTACTACTCTAAAGAAGGAATACTTTTTCTACTGAGGGTTAAGAAAGTTTTCTGCCGGGAAAAAGATGAAATGCAGTTTTTGCAGACCTGAGATGGTATTTCAGGAAAACTTCAGAACAGAATTTTATTTTGCTATGGTACAACTGACGGCTGTACTGCTCAAGTTCACATCAGAAGTAAATCTTTTGAAATATTCTCACATCTCTAGATCTTTTGAAATATTGTCACCTCCAATACTCTCACACATCTCAGTCTGTACAATGAAAAATTGAGCATCTTAAAATTGGTCTTGGAAAAAAGTCATTTATGTTCTTCCAAAACTTGGGCTGACAAAGGAAAATTAGCATTTTCATCTGAATAGTACTGAAGGCCTGTTCTAGATTATTATTGTACTGGGCCCTTCTTTCTAAAAGTGCCTCTGACTGGTTGAGATCATTTATCTATTTAGCTAAATGTTTACACCATGCTCATCACAGGTTGAGTGAGTGCCTATGATAGGACAGCTAGTGTGTGGCTGTTTACCTCTGTTACTAATGGCTTGTCTACACGCAGACGTTACCTAGTTTTATACCGATTTAAGATTGTCCACATGCCACCTTAATTAAATTGGGGAAACATCACTCACTGGTGTAACTTTGTGCGTAGACCAGGCCGAACAGATGTTGGTAAATTGGAATATGGGAAAACTTATTATTTTCAATTCTAGGAATGTGAACATACAGTGGAATTTTGGATACTGTGCAGCAAAAACTGTAGGTAAATGTTGGACTTTCTATGGCAACCACTGTATGTCTGCTCAGGCTGATAGCCAGAACAAGTCTGGTATTCTTATCTCAACAAGCATAAAATTATTTGATTATCACCACAAATTGTTTGGGTTCTGACTGTACTATTACCCATTAGCAGCTAACTTGCTAACTTAACTTACACAGTAAATTTGATAGGAACGGGACTGTAACTAATGGCAGAACTACCATTGGCTTCAGTGACACCTAGAGCAAGCTGATAGCATATCCATCCCTGCAAAGCCTGAGTGTGCTACATGTATTTTTTCCACCAAGATTTATGCTACAACTATTGCTTAATCAGTCTTGAAATCTGAATAGTGATTACCATTCCACAGTGATAAAATCTCCATGTCACTCTTAGTTAAATCTGCCTGAAAAAAAGAAAAGTTAGTGGTGTGTTCTTGAAAAGTTTTAGCAGGGTAATCACAGGGATGGGTTAATGGTTGGGATTCAGGATAGTCAGGTATATATTCCTCAATGATGATATCATCGCTCTCATTAGGACCCAGACTCCTTGTTCTTGGTATCATGTCTCTCATCTCTTGTATATCTGACTCTGTGTCCCGACCCTCCTTACTCCATGCAGGTTCATTCCCTATGAAATCCTCTGCAAAACAGGAATAGAAAGAGAGAAATAAAACTAGGAATTCTTAGCTGATAGAATAGCTCAGCTGTTCATGGGTTATGTTGTGTGCTAGATAGAAAATATCCATAACAATTAAAAACATATCCCTTTATTATATAAGAGCTATATATTATATTGGGGGACTAGCAAGAAAATATGATCTGTGGTATCTGCTGCATGCTGCTGGTACCCAGCTCACTGACTCTGCCTTGTCCGATCCCAGTGCTATGATGGATGTAGTGGTTTCTAAATGAGGATGGGGCTGGGACTGGGGCTATTGGGTGACTCAACCCAGACAAGACCGAGGTAGCATTGGTACTAGGACAAGAGAAGTAGGCTGACCCACTATATCTTCAGGGAGGATACTGCAACCTCTAAAATGGGTTGTTTTGAAAATAAGATATTAAAACATCCCAACCGGTTTTCAATTAAATTGCACAGTGTTTTATCAAGGGCCTTCACTTAAATGAAGCTGGCAGCAGACTCACCTATTGCTGGTTACAGCAAAAGGAACCCTTAGCCCAATCCTTTATTGAAGGTCATTAATCCCAGAGGTAAAAATAGGCTGTAACTTGGCTATTTCACTGAAATCTTGCAACTTCATTCTTGCATTGGTGTTCGCAGTGAGTAGAAGCAGTCAACTCACTTGATCATTGTGGAGGAATCAAAAGAATCAACAAGTATTACAGACCATCTGGCATCCTACTCTGCTCTTAAAGCAAAGCTATAGGAAAATATGAATTCCCTTCAGAAGCTAGATCCCTCCAGGAACTAATACCCACTCACATTTATGCAGAAACACAACATCTGTCTCTAGCTTTATTAGCATTCGATCCATGTGGGAATGTGGTTAATGACTATGGATTACCATATGATTCTGTGGTCTCCATAATATCACTGTCCTGTGGCTGTAGAAGCTCTGAGTCTGCATTATAAACTAAAAAGTTGATTTCCATTGGCTCAGCTGTGTTACTATCAGGGTACTGTAGTACAGAACCAGTGGGAACATTTGGTAATGGAGTTGAGACAGGACAGGATTTACTAGACAGTACAAAATCTTCTCTACGTCTTGATGCTTTCTCCTGTATTCCTACATCTGCTCTTTTACTGTCTTGGGCTTTACTTCTGTTACTTTCTTTTCCTGATAGGTCTGTAGGAAGGTGAATGAAAGAGAGAAGTAAACTTGTAACCACTCATCTGTAGAATAATTGTCTTATATGTATAAGATGCATTTCTGGTTCAAGTTACTGTACCGTTAGAGTGTCTACTAACAAATGTTGGTGAGTGCATAAGGGGAAAATAAAAAATTTAAATTGCAGTAAAGCAGTACATCAAGATGCAGCCTACACTGCAACTACTTACAGATAATTAAAATTCTATAGTGCAAAACTCCAATAAATAAAATCTTTGATGAATCGAATTATTGTTTCTTTACTTATAGATAGACTAAAATAACGAAATTTGTTTACGTAATATCACTGAAGCAATTTAAAGCTAATAGTTTACCAAATTGGAGAGAGAAAACAAATCTATCTTCAGTATGAACAATATCTATTAATGTCCCTCCTGACCTCTATCAATCGGAAGGGAACCGGGTTTACAGTTGGTCTCTACAAAACCTTGCATATTTATGTTTTATCTTTCTAGAATCACCATTGCGTGGGCTCACATTTTTTGCAGGCCTCCGAACAGCTGTATGTCAAAAATTTGTGAACTAGAATCATCACTGTCAATATGACAAATGTCTTACTAGAACAGAGAAAAGCTATAGATGTTTGCATTAATGACATTTTTATTAACATATTTTTTCTTGAAATTACATCACAGTGAATCACCTCCACTCAACTTCTCCATGACAGATAACATGAAGCTCGTGGCCAAGTAAAACATTTTTTTAGGAAACCTACAACTCCATTCTAGGGTCTTCATATTCCTCTTCTCCATACAGTTCTGTCTTTTGGGCTCACAAAAACTTGCCATTGTCTACACAAACCCCATGGAAACTGGTGGTTAGGAGGTCTGTGAAACTTGAACTGATTAACTACAACCTCATGTCTGCCAATGGTCAATTAATACTTTCTGCAAACTTTTTTTACTTGTTATGGATAAGAGCAAATTAGATAGATAGATGGATAGCTCTTGTCCATGGTATATTTTAATAATCTGGCCCACATTAATTAAAGAACATTGGACAAAACAATGGAATTTTCTAGGACAGTCCCTAGTAAAATTTCCAAGAAAAACTCCAATGACATTTCTGCAAATGGGTGCAAACACTTGAAACCCAAACTTTGTCTATGGTTTGGTGAAACGATTTGACATAGGTACAATAGTTGTGTTTGAACACAGTCTTCTTCAAAATTCAGGGCCTGTACACCCGTGCAAACTGGTTCTGATAAGGAAAAAGAATCCCTGGAAACAACTATATCACTTCTATGTAGTTAGTTTGTCCACAAGTAATTTATCTGGTATACAAAAAAGGCCTATTTCCAAATTGTTTTAAAAATTGTTTTTTTTTCAAATTGTGATTTATTATCGTAACATACTTAATAAATACACAGCCAAAATACTTAAAAAAATTAAATAATATTTTTTAACAAACTGCAACATCCTCCATTGCCACTGAGATTCTAATCCTATTATCCCACAATCAAAGCAATTCTGATGGAAGTGTTGACTTGCACTGCTGTCAAACATGAAGAAAGGTGAGAAAAATACCTACAACAATTCTTTCCGACAGAAATCACTGAAATGACATTGCAAGCAATAACATAATATTCTCTCTATGTAGGCTGACCAATAAGTAATTCTATATGCTATATATTCATACAAAATGAAAATCAAGGGATAAATCATAAGACATAAAGTAAATTCCAGAGGAATTTAACCTAACAAGCTTAATTTCCTGAAAGTATATCATAGTGCAGTCATTCTGACTGACTTTCTGCCACTTTTAATGCTAGCAATAAATGTCAGTATCTCATAGCTATTTATAGCTTCCCACTTCCAGGTTATGAAACAAGTTTAATCACAGTATATGACATCACAAATGCCATAAATTCAACTGCAACCTGCGTAAGCCATGGTGCTTTCGATGTCACAGCATAGCATTATATATTTAGGGATACCTTCAGTAAGCCTGGAAGTTCCAAGGATTTCATAGACGGACAAAATATTTGTTAAGGGTTAGTTAACACTTATTTGCGTATTGAATGCCCTCCGAGTTTGGTTATCATTATTATTTATTACTCTAGCACCGCAGGCAGAGACTCCCATTGCACTAGATGCTGTACAGACACAGAACAAAAATCCAGTCCCAGTCTCAAGTAGTTTACGATCTGAGAATAGACAAAAGACAATAAATGGATACAAATACACCCCCGGGTGAGTACAAGAAAACAAGAAGACACATTGGTCCATGTGATGGGCTGTGGTCTCAGCACCCCAGCAACCTAACTATTGTCAAGTTTTCTGTAGGAATCATGTCAAAGGAGAGTTTTGAGGAGGGTTTTGGAGGAGAATAATGACTTTGTTTTTTGGATGTTTACAGGGAGCTTGTCCCATGCGTGAGGAGCAGCTTGATTAACAGAGGCATTCAGCACAGAAAGCTGGGCTTAATTCTGCTTTTATTTTTGCTTTACTTTTGAGTTTTAAAGTGGCAGTTGATTAAAAAGCCCAAGCAGCTCATAATAATTTATAAAGTAGAAGAAATATTTAATAAGGAGCATATCTGGGAAATAGTTGTCTGTTGCCACATAATTATGCATATGGAATGGTATATTTTCCAGTTTAATAACAATGATCTATAAATTATGGTTTACAACACTCAGAATGACAATGGACATGTCTATAACCTGTCAGCAAAGATCACACAGGGCAGGTTTCCTCTAGGATGGCAAAGAGATGTTAAAAAACACTCCTCATAATCAAGCTAACAGGATGGTCAAATGAGAATCATTAATAACAGATTAATAATTTTGCTGAGATCATTATTAGGGCTGCTTGATGAAAATTTTCCATGAAAACTGATTTTTATAGAAAATTGGGTTTTTAACCAACTAAATTTTTTCACAATAAAGGTCTGCTTTGTGAAGAAAATTTTGATTTTTTTTTTAAACAAAATGAATGTCCAAAAATTTAAAAGCTTTTGGTTTTCAGTTTTCATCTGAAAACCAAAATATTTCAGCTGAAAATTTTCCATTTGGATACGTGGCTATAGTGTCTCATGGGAGTTGAGTCTGATTGCCTCATGTTCCTACTTGCTTTTATGGGCTGGGCTTCTGTACCTCAAAGTAGCACCCTGGAGCCCCCATATTCACCATGGCGATGTTACTATGCCATATTTTGTACAAAATATAGTCTCGATCTGTTGAACAATAATATCCTGTTGGACTGTATGTACTATCATTGTATGTGAAATTATGAAGAATTACTATGTGTTACTGAAATATGTTGCGAGGTTGGGAACACCCACAACCAATCTTTCAGTTACAACAAAACTGTAGCAATCAATAGCCAGGCAGCGTTAATGGCTCATCAACACACAATCCACTATCCTAAAGTCTTCTTGGAGAAAAAAAAAGGACAAAAAAAAAAAGCTGTTTTGCAGGTGCTGGGGGAATTAGCAGGCCCTGGCTGTGCCATGGCCACTGCCCCCCCCCCCCCAGGGCCCCGGGCACATGTGGCACGTCCCGCCACCCCGTGGGGAAGGAGCCGCTGGAGCGAGAGGCGCGGGGTTCCGGACCCCGGCAGCAGCGAGGGAGAGCGGCTTAGGGCCGCGCAAGTGGCCACATAAAGTTTATCAGCTGGGGGGGGACCCCGGCGGCTCCTCACCCTGCCCTGTAGGGGGTAGCATCCCCGCCCCGCGCCAGCATGTGTCGCCGGCTGCCGCAGGCCAGGTAAGGAGCCGAGCCCCTCCCTCCCCCCTCGCCCTGGCTCCTCAGCTGAGCGGCATTCCTCCTCCCTCCAGGGTTGCAGCTGGAATGCCAGCG